GACTGCTGAGGACTTCCCAGCGCGTTCCGCCAGCCTCGCTGACGCGCGGGCACCCCGGTGCAAGCCGGTGATTCGGGCGGGCATGACATCATGACGACGTCGACAATTGCACGCAAGACGATGACAGTGGCGATGCTGATCAGGATGGCGACGATGACGACAGCAAGGCCAATGGCAGGGCTGATGCTGGTCAGGAATCGCGCACCTCACCAGCCCGCGCGCAAGGACGTTGGATGACTTTCGACATGCGCGAGCGAAAGGCCCGTTAGATTGCATTTGATGAAACTTTTGACGACCACTGGTTTGTTCAGGATTTCAGAGAGCACGCGCAGACATTTGCTTGCTTGAAACTCATGTTGCAAAACCGCGCGTGCTCTCTGTCTGGGACTCTCGACGTTCATATCCTTACGAAACCTATGGCTGTTGAAAAATATCGGCATGCGCGCGCGACGACGCACGCGCGAACACATCTTCCCGTGTTTTGCAAGGGAACCTTGCAAACGGGCGGTTCTTTATAAACGATTGTGCGCGCATCGGCCCTCCCGAAAATATAATGGGGGGACTCGGTTTGGCTGGGATGGCACGGCCTCACATTGAGAATGAATGACGGGGCAGAATCGCATGTGCACTTTTTCTCTCAGAGGGAACGAATAATCCCAACCCCGGGGAGGTGGTAAATCCGAGCGCCTTCCTAGAAAGGATCATCTACGTGTTGCAGTCTACGCGGTGCAAATTATGCGGTGCAATCCACGCGCAACGCGGCGCAGTCTAGGCGGCGACGGGTTTGTGACGAGGTGGCGGCGGCGGCCGCGAGGCAGCAAAACCAAATACCAGGCCCCGGCGACGGGCGGCGACGTGCGGCGACGAGGCGGCGACGGCGGCCACAAGGGGGCGGAACTGGCAAATGGGCCCAGGCGATGGTTGGCGACGGGTGGCGACGAGGCGGCAATTGCGGCCGCGAGGCGGCTACGGCGGGCACGAAGCGGCGGAACTGGCAAACAGGCCCGGGCGACGGGCGGCGACGAGGCGGCGACGACGGCCACAAGTCGGCGGCGCCAGCAACGAGGCCCAATTCCTATGAGGACCCCGGGCCCACGGCGCGCCCGGCCAGGACCGGTGCCGCTGATTAGGTAGACTTCTCCAAGAAGGGAAGATGCGAGGTAGCGGGTGGGGGTCAGCGCTCACCCCTAAATGCGAGGTCACTCATCGCGCGAGGTGGAATCTCGTACAAACCAATGATAGTGGTGGCCGTATGTGCGCTGCCTTTGGGACACTTTCCTGAAAATTTGCTCCTGGACAGAAAGCACGTGACAGGAAAAACCTCGCGTGCAAAATGATTGCTGACATTGTGGGCAAATTTTCCGTGTTTGAGCTTCCCACGGGTTGCCAATGGGCCCCAGGACATGTATGAGAACGAAGTAGAAGCGTCTCGCCCAATAAGCCTAGGACCTTCATTTGAACCAAGGCCTGGCACGTCTTCGAGGAGGGATTGGCGACCCATGAAGTCAAAGGCCACGCTGCGATCTCGAATGGCCTCAAAAGGTCGAGGCATCGAGGCGGAGAGGTTAGGCGATAAACATGCGGATGGATATGCCAAGACGGTGCTGAGCTGCGCCCTATGTCCGAGGAAACTATCTCTTTAAGATCTGAGTGAGCAGCTCGCCAGAATGGACTCCCCAGGCAGGCTGGCATCCGCGATGTCTTCATGCCAGAGAGGATGGAGGTTGGACAGATGTGTCAGGATTCCCTGAATCCCTTGGGTCGGCAGGGAACCGAGAGTACGAATCCAACAAGCAGTGGCTGGGAGACATCAAGCGCCATCATGTCGAGGGCGAGGTGCCCGACCCTCGGACGGATCTCGAGATCCCACTGCACCAGGGCTCCCAGCCTGCAGTGCTTGGCACTCCTGCGGGGCTACACGAGATCTCGTTCCTGGCAAGGCTCGAGGGCACCAATCTTTGCAAGTCGAAGGTGTCTCCCCGGGACGGGGGGCGGGGTGAGGGGAGCGGGCGTGTCATGAAAGAGATCGCATGCGGAGGCTGCAGTCAACCCGTATAACAAAGGCGCATGATAAGAATGCAAGGGCCTTGGAAAACCCTGCCGGCGTTTTCGAACGGGGCTGGCCAACGAAAATTGCCAGCGATGGGCCGAAAAGGGCAAGGATGCAAGGGCAAACTGGAAAACTGTTCATCTGCTCGATGCAGATTGACTGTATGCTTGATCTGGCGCGGCCTCTTCCCGGGCGCTGCCCTGGCCTCTAACCAACCAGGAAAAATCTAAGCTTTTGAAAAGAAATGTCCAAAGCTGTGCGAAGCAACGCCGCGGATAGATACTCTCGTCCCATGGTGTCCCGACTCCCGTGGCCATCATTGCGCTGCTGAAAGCGTCTCGCAAGGGGGTCCAGATGCGCGGCAAACAGCGCTCGGAAGCCCCACTGCTTTCTGATGGCCCGAGGGAAGAGGGGGCTGCCCAGCTCCTAACAAAATCGGTCCTTCAGCGGCCCGCTTAGACTGGCCAGATGTTCCCCGAATTTCATAACGACTGTCTGGGGCGGCAGGCGGCAGCCTCCCGCTCGGGAGCACGGCGCGCAGGCGTCGCCGCCGTCCCACCGCAGCTCCCCATCTCCTCGGACTTCGTGAACTTCGCCATGGAGCTCATGCCCCATTTCGCACCAGCGCCGGGCAACCAGTCACTCCTCGACCTGAGCGACTTGAGAACATACCTCGAAGCTTGTCCTGCTCGCCACCCTTCGCACCCGTTTACCATCCTGTAGCTGAAGTGCTTCTCCGCTGAGGCCCCGCAACTCCAGCAGAAGTATCGCCCCTCGTGCCTCGACCAGCAGTTCGCGTGCGACGGGTGGGAGATTTTGCCCTCGAGGGCTAGAGCACGTTTATCTCCTTCTTGGCGTTCAGCTCGGGCGTCTGCTTCTCCAGTGCATCTCTTGAGCCACCAGCCCGGCGCCCTGGATCACTGGCGCCTCCCAATCGACTCTCTGCATCGCGCGCGCCTCCATGTCCTCATTTCTTGTTTCAGCAAGAGCGGGGCGTTGGCCAGCACGCTCATGCAGGCCTCGATGTCTGGCTGCGACTGCTTCCTCCTGAGTTTCGACCCGGCCTTCTCCTCCCATGTCATGGGCTTAGTCCGCTCGAACTGCTCCATGTAGGCTCGGCCGATGAGTGTCCAGACCTTGCGCGCTGTCGCCCTGGCCCAGTCGCGGCAGCCCATCTGCGCCCACGGGATCTCGTGCGTCGCCGCCGCCTCGCCTGCCAAGGTGTCCGCCCTCTAGTGGCCTCTCCACGCTTCTAGCGGTGCTCCTCGATTCTGCGCCTGCTCGATCGTCATGTGGCTCTCTACGTGGCGCACTCGTACCTCGGCATCTCCTCGCGACTCCAGTCGCTGCCTGGTCTTCTTCAAAAAGTCTCCGCGCGCTTCCTTGTAGCCCAACTCCTGGAAACGGCCCATGCACAATTGCAGCCCCCTGCCAGGTCTCCCCGCGGTTCTGCATGATAGTCCAGCTCCAGCCGCATCTCATGCACCGTGCGTCGCCGCCGTGTTCACCCCCGCTTCCGTCTCCACATGCTATCGTGCCCTCCGTCAAGTTCAGCTCGTCGCAGCGCTCCTCGTTGGCGACGCCGGCTGCTGAACCCGCCCGCGTTGGCTGGTACTCGGTCTCGCACGCCGGCGGGGTAGTCCAAGCTCGCGGCGTAATCCCTCTGAGCCAGACAGCCGCCCACTCGCGCTGTCCTTGTCGCGCTCGGTGCACTAGATCCTCCGTATTTTCTGTAGGTGCTGCGTCCGCTCCTGCAGCTGCACTCGCCCCTGATAATGCGCAAGTCGTCCGCGATCTCGCCGCAATCGCACAGGCTTCAGACGCCTTCTCCGAATGTCTCTCGCCCCCGTTGTGGCGACCACGTTCCCGCGCACGCTGCCGCGAGAATTACCCCGAACATCTGGTGCTTTCCGTGCCTCCTCAAGCGTTCCAGCTGCATCTTCAAGTCGCGGGCGCCGGCCCCTACGCTGCAGGCCCGCACCATTGTGGCGCAGGCTTGCTCGCGCCCAGCCCTTTCTCCTCAGGTCGATGGCGATCGCGCCCAGCAGCTCCGCGGGGTCGTCGTTGCCTTCGCCCGGTTGAAGCTGCCGCCCTCCTCCGTCGGCGCCCTCCCAGAAGTCGGCTGTCTTCGCGCCCCAGTCGATCTCACAGAGCTGCAGGGTGAGCGTTCCTATGATACCTCTGCGCGGCTGCCATCTTGTGTTCGGTGCTGCAAGGAGTCGTTCTCGGATCTCTGGCCAAGCTCGGCGCGCTCCTGCTCGAAGATCTGGACGGCTTGCCCACAGATCGAACCACGTCTGGATCTGGTTCCTGGGGATGGTGATGCCTGGGCCGGCGCCTTCCAGGTCCAGCAGCGCGGTGAGGCACCTTCCTGGCCATGCCTTATTGAGTCCTTTCGCATGCCTCCCCCCGATGGCCGTGAGCTCTGAAGGGCCTGCTCCGTGCGCCTTCGTGCCGTAGCCGACCTGCGCCATGGGTCCCTGCCCGATGAACTGTCTCCTCGTTCTGGCTTTCTTGACCTTCTCCGCGATCGCTGCGAACCTTTTGAAACCCTTCGTCTTCCTTCTGCTGTGAGTGGTCACCCTCGCGCATGTCACCCCTGCTCTGTCGAGTCCGAGGTCTCTTCCCTCTGCGGCGGCCTCAATGGCGAATCCCATCTCCCCCAGTCATTTGGTGGCCCTCCTGGCCCTGTCGAAGCTCGTGCTGAACAGGGCCGACTTCCCCGCCATGGCCAGCCACTCGCCGCGCAGCTCCTTCGCCAGCTCGTAGGTTGCAGCTCATGGCGTTCACCACGTGGTAGATGAGGGTCCGCGCCGGGTTGTTGCTGCACCTAGAGCCCGCGAGCAAGCTGCGCCTGACGTAGACTGGCAGGCTGCATGCGTCGCCCTCCTTCAGCATCCTCGGCGCGACGTGGAGCAGCATGGTCGTGCTCCAGCGCTCGCTTCGCCACCTTCTCGAACACCAAAGAGTCGTATAACTTCTTCAAGTCGACCAAGGCGTTCGCCGAGTGGACTCCAAGCTCCCGCGAGGTCTCGTCGCCCAGCGCTCGGGCCATCGCCTCTCTTAAGCAGGGGTTCCCTGCCACCGCCGCGTCGAAGTCCTTTTCCACCTCCTTGGCGCACTTCCTGACCTGGTTCCTGTTGAGCAGCTCCCACGTCCTGGCGGATCAGGCGAGTGGCGCGAGGGCTCTGTCCCCGCCTCCCGCGAGTGCCGTCTCGTCGATCCTCTCCGCGCCCTTGCGTTGCAGCATGGCCATCGCCTGCAGGATCTGCCACGGCCACGCCACTTCCGCATCACAGCTGTTGTACATGTCGATGTAGGCCCTCCTGCCGTTATCAGGTAGCCTCCTCACGTCTTCCATGTTCATCATGTCCGTGCCCCTGCCTTTGGGGGCACCCTTGGTCGCCTCGTCAGGCTCCTCAATGGTCCAACTTGGCGTGGGCTCCTCCTGCGCCCTCTCGCGCAACATGTTGATCACTTCCACCGCATCGTCGTGTTTGCTGGTGTGTTTCCACATATCCTCGAAGTCTTCCGCCTTCAGGTCGACGCTGTCCTTCGGGTTCGTGGCCTTACGTCCTGCCTTGACGCATTCGTGCTCGTGTCTCCTTCTGGGCTTCGTGATCTTGCGCAGGGTTCCTGGCGCGATGGCCTCCACGTGGGCTACCCAGCGCGCGTAGTCTTTTGCCCCTCTCCTCAGGTCCTCCCTTAGCGCCATCTTCGCCTCTATCTTCGCCTGCTTGACCATGCCCTCGAGTACTACCTCCTCAACCTTGTGTATATCCTTGATCATTTGGCTCCAGATCTTCCTGTGCAACCTAGCTGTTCGTGTCGGTGTTCTGCCCGCTGACGGCACCCCTTCCCAAGCAAGCCTCCTGCAACACTCCTCAATCTGTCTGAACTGGGTGTCTCCTCGCTTCCTTACCTTCAGCTTCGCGTAGGTGTCTAGTGTTGTCGCCGTCCTGCTCCACCCAATTGTCCTCTTGTTGGTACAGGTTACCCGCCTTGCTCCTGATTCTCGGACCTCTTTCTCTTGGAGCTCGTACGCTTCGCCTCTGCCTGTTTACCTCTTCTGGGCCTCCTTGCTGATGTCGTAGGCTTCGCAATAGAAGCACTCCATCGTGGACACTAAATGGTGGTATTGGTGTCCATGTTTGGTAGCTTCCGTCTCCGTTGTCCTAAACGCCGCCGAGTCGCCGGGTGGCAGAAACACTGTTTCCAGCTATGGCAATACAGCACGGAAGGGCAAGGGAGGTGAGTAAGGGGGTAAGAAGGGGAAGACGGGGAAGAGCGGAAAGGGGGAGGGCGAGGGGGAGCACGCGAGCAAAATGGGGAGCAGGAGAAAGGGGGGAAAAAGGAAGACCATGACAGACCCAGCCCTCACGACTGGTGCAGCAGCGCGCCCTCCTGTGCCAAACCCCGCCCGCACAAACCAATACGAATGGTCAGATAATCTGACCATTCGTATTGGTCAGATTCACCTGACCATTCACCGAGGTGAATCTGACCAATACGAATGGTCAGATTATCTGACCATTCACCGAGGTGAATCTGACTCAGATTCACCTCGGCAAGCGCCACTGGAAGGGTTCGAGGGCCCCCCCGGGCCTGCCACGAGCTCAGGCGCGGGAGCGCCGCGGGGCCACGTCGATGATCCTCAAAACGCGCGTTACCGCTACCGTGTCCTTGTCCGACGAAGCCGCTTCCTCCTCCTCCTCCTCCTCCCCCTCCTCCTCCTCCCCCTCCTCCTCCTCCTCCTCCTCCTCCTCCTCCTCCTCCTCCTGAAATCAGGGTCGACACTGGTTGCGTGCTATCGGCATATTTGAACGAGGTCAAACACACATTCGGCGAGTACGCACGTCCTAAAAATCACCGACCACCAACGGGCCAGAGACGCCCAGAACCCTGCTCGGCCAGACGGATCATCCCGCACCGGCGCAGGCAAACAGTCTCCGGGCGGCCGCCGCGGCGCGCGCGCGCGCGAGGGGGCCCGAAAGGGGCGCGGGCCCGCCGAACGCGCGCGGGCGGAGCCGCACCGCTCTCGGGCGGGCGCATTCGCCTGGTCGCCGAAGAAAAGGGCGAAGCAGCCAAACCCGGCGAACGGCAAGGCACGTGGAACGGGCGGAAAAAGGCGCTGACCTCCAGCCCGAAACCGTCACGCGCGCCTCCCGGACTGCCCGGAGGAGGGTGCCGAATTGCGGCGCCCACGCCGTCCCGACAGGTGGATCGGGACGGTCGTTGGTTCAAAGATGGGGTCCTAAGGGATGGAGTCCTGAGAACGAGGTGCCTTCAACAACGTAAACCCACCCTTGAACCCCTTCCTATCCTTACGACCCCATTCTTGAAACCACCGAGAAGGATCCGCCTTGTTCACTTTCCCCCAAAAAGAGTTTACACTTTGGGGCTCCCACTTCTCTTCTTAGGAACTGGGCCCGTATGTCGGTCTGACGGTTATGTTGTCGCCGTCGCCGCCCCGTCGCCGCCCGCAACTGGGCCGTGCACTTTCTTAGTCGGGGACTCGGCGAACGCGCGAGTCGGTCGTAACGTCCGCTGGGCCGCAGCGAAGCGAATTGTGCACAGGGAGATCCACCCTGTCCACTCGCAGAAGATGTGTGCACATATTATATATATACATACATCGGCGAACGCGCGAGTCGGTCGTAGCAAGCGCTGGGTCACAGCAAGACGGATTGCCCACAGTGAGCTCCACCTTTCTCACGAGCGGATACGGCTGCAGCGATGCAGCGATGCGTGGGTCGCCTGCGCCCGGGCCCCTGGAAGGCGCTCAGTCTCGGTGCGGCAAGCAAGGGTACAAGAAGCGCTCTACGTGGTGGTAGGCGACGGCGGCATGCTGGCGCGGCGGCGTGGCGGCACGGTGGCCAGAAACGGTGGTGTACAGATGCCCTTTGCAAAGATGGCTGGAACGTGGGAAGAATCAACGCTCCCCTGCCCTGTCACGGAAAGGCGGCAGGGCTGGAACGGGGAACACCCTGCTGGTTTTCTCGATGCGCATCAAGCGTTGTGAGCAAGAGCGCGTACGAAGCGAGAACACAAGTTTGGAACAGACCCGACCTCCATACGAGCAGATGGTGGGAGACGCCGCGTGCCTTTGGGATCGTAGGCCATAGGAACTTCCAGAACGTCTGAAGCGAGAGCTCGATGTGTCGCCCTTCGCCCGTGTATCCTGGGAAATGCCTGGAGATAATGCGGTATTGAAGACTACCCGCCCTGCATCCGTGTAGCTGCGAGTACAACAAGTTAATATGGCCACAGGTCCCTAGGAAGCCTTCAGGCACATCGCAATGTTGAGAACCACCTGCCATTCGTGCGTGCAGCTGCTGGGAACTTCGAGCAGGAGGGTCGAAAGCTGCAAAAAGGTATCAGACGAAATGCCCGACCACTCGACAAATGCGACTGGTTGTGGGACTGGGACTCCCCATGTGAAAACCACGTGAGAGGAGGATGAGGAGGAGGAGGAGGAGAAGGAGGAAGAGGAGTCACGCAATCGTCGAACAGAAGAGCGATGGGGGGGACGTATAGGACGGAAGAAGCGAAGAGAGGCGGCAGAGAGAAGGTAAGATAGTAGGGAGGAGAGGTGGTGGGGGGGGAGGTGGGCGGAGGAGGAGGAGGAGGAGGAGGAGGAGGAGGAGGAGGAGGAGGAAGAGGAGAAGAAGGGGGAGGGGAAGGAGGAGGCATAGTGAACGATGGGTACGTCTTGTCATTTCTCTCCACCTGCTGCTGATATTGTTCCTGCTAATCCCGTTCCTCATCTTCATCCTTCACCTCCCCCTCATCTTCGACCGACGGGAGCCGTGACCGCGGCCTTGGTCAGGGGAGGAGGAAGGGGGGAGCGGGGGGCATGGGGAGAACAATGGGACGACGAGGAAACAAAGATGACTACGAAGAAGGGACGAATGGGGGAACGGAAGAGGAGAGTGTGAGGGGGGAGCAGAAGATCGAAGGGAATGCTGTTGCGAGGCGGGAGAATGGGAGGGGGGCGAGGGCGAGGGGGCTTGCAGTGGCACATGATCCCTCTCTCAATCGCCATCACCATGGTCATGTTCACTATCGTCATCATGCCGTCATCCTCGTCAGCATCCTAATCAACATCATCATCATCATCATCATCATCAGCATCATCATTATCAGCATCATCATCATCATCATCATCATCATCATCATCATCACCAACATCCTCATCAGCAGCATCATGATCATCGCCGTCACTCCTCCTCCTCCTCCACATCCTCCCCCTCCTCCTCCTCCTCATCATCACCAGCAGCATCACCATCATCATGGGCATCATCATCAGCATAAGCATCATCATCAGCACCATCATTAACATCATCATCGTTCTCATCAGCAGAAACATCAGCATCATCAGTAGAATCACCAGCCGCGTCAGCACCATCATCATCAGTACCAGCATCATCATCATCATCATCACCATCACCATCATCATCATCACAACCATCAGCATCATCACCATCAGCATTGCCACCATCATCATACTCAACCGCATCGTCATCAACATGCCCATCAGCATCCGCATCATCCCCATCATCATCAGCATCATCGACATCATCGTCTTCATCATAACTACCATCATCATCCTCATCCGCGTCATCATCATCAGCATCATCAGCATTATCAGTAGCAGTAGCAACATCAGCATTCCCACCGGTATCATCATCATCATCATCGTCGGCACCATCATCACCGTCAGCGCCATCATCAGCAGCATCTGCATCATCCTGTTCCCCGTTTCGTCACCTGCACCAACACACCAATATCGCCCTCATCGTCATCATGATCGCGGCATGATCATCCTCATCCCCATCCTCATCCTCATCCTCATCATCAACCTCATCCTCATCATCCTCATCCTCATTGTCATCATCATCCTTATGACCATCACCAGAATCGTTACCATCATAATCATCATTAGCAACATCATCGTTATCATCATCATCATCGTCATTACCGCCAACGCCATTATCGTTTCCATCTTTCCATCACCACCGTCACCACCAAGCACCATCGGAACCGTCACCATCACCATCACCATCATAAGCATCATAGCCACCATCGTCATCATCATCATAATCATCATCATCATCATCATCATCATCATCATCATTACCACCAGCATCATCAGCATCATCAGCATCATCATCATCGCCATCGTCAGCATCATCAACATCATGATCATCATCCTTAGTATCGTCATCATCCTTAGTATCGTCACTTGCGCCGCCTTGTCATCATCGTTCCCCCTCCCTCCTCCCGCCCAACCCACACAACCTGGTACCCGCCCGACCCCCTCCCTCCTTGTCACACTCGGCCTCCTCATCCCCCGCCCCTCCCCCTCCCTCATCGTGCCTCGTCCCTCGTTGTCGTCGTCGACATCCTCCTCCTCCTCCTCGTAGTCCTTCTCCTCCTCCTCCTCCTCCTCCTCCTCCTCCTCCTCATCTCCACCTTCGGATTCCTTCGGATTCGAGGGCATGTGTCCCGCACCTCAGGGCTGCAAGACAGAGAGAAAAGAGAGCAGCGGGGCCCGCAAACCTTCTCCTCCCTGCCTCCTCCTTCCCCCTCCTTCCGTCGGGGGGGACGTCTTGACCCGACACCGCCTTGATCAGGGCGTGGGCAACGGCGTCCAAGTCGCGCGCGAACAGCTCCAGCAGCATCAGGAAGGCGCCCACCTGCGCCGATCGCGCCAGCCGCCGCTGACCACACCCACAGCGGACCGCGCGGGGCAGCTGCCCTGCGCCCTTGCCCTCGTCGTGGTTGTCGTCTTGCTCCTCCTCCT